ATTGCTGCTAACGGTACTACACACAGTGCTCGGTTAGCTTTAATTTAAAGCTGACGATCTGGCGCAAATCGAGTGCCACTGTGTATAAAGAAAATATGGTTCTTTCTATAGTAAACGTATACGATATTCAGCGCCGTCTAGCGTCTGCTCAACATTTTGGGACTTTTCAAATATTAGGTTGAACCAAAAGTTCGTGCATTTTTAAATGAATATTTCCAAAGTAAATTTTACCAAAACTGGGATGTGTTATGGGATCGAGGATCAAATGGCCAATTATGAATTTTAGCTTTAAAGAAAAACAAAAAAAAAAGAAATAATAATAATAATAATAAATTCATGACCGTGCGTGCTGGGCCGCAGGTTGAGTACGGCTGGACTATAAGATACGTGTTGTTAGTCTTAAAGTAGATTTGACGTATATCATAAGATTGATTTCCCAAGAGTATTATACGTATACGAAACTATAGAAATAAATTCAACTTCAGGCGTGTTACCTTTAATCGTTTGTCTTTTCGTTATCGATCTGAACTCCTATATTCATGCGCACGAATAAGAAAGAGAGAAAGTGAGGAAATGGAAAGGGAAGAAGGAAAAAGGTAAATGTGTTGGAACTTTTCCCCCCAACTTCCTTTTCATTTCTCTCTATTTATCTCTCTCTCTCTCTCTCTCTCTCTCTCTCTCTCTCTCTCTCTCTCTCTTTCTCTCTCTCTCTCTTTCTCTCTCTCTCTCTCTCTCTCTCTCTCTCTGTTTCTCTTTCATTGTATTTCTCTATCTTTGTTTTGAATACAATTTGAAAGTGTGAGTAGTAGTTGCGTGCTGCTTCGAAAGTCCGGTAGTCACGGAATACGAGATAAGGAAAAAACGAAGGTGAGCGTAAAGTTGATGTTTCTATGATGTTGAGTATGAAAACATAGGCCAAAATAGAGTGAGAGGATTAGAAAAACGCTAGATCAATGTTTGTTGGTTACCTACCTTTCGTGAAAACGAGAAAAACTAGTGTTCACTACCGTCCCAGTACAATCGTATAGTTTATCACTCATGTGCGTGAGTCACGCATCTCTATATAGGGTGGACGTGTTTTCAAGAATTGTAGACGGTTTTTTCTTATAATTTGACATGAGTTTCCTTCTTTCTATATTTTTTTTTTGTATCGCTTGGTCCGCGAGCATTTCGAGGGCCCATAGTTTAGTTTTTTTTTGTTCAGATTTTGTTAGTAACGTGTGGAATATAGGGGAAATGGTAATAGTATTATGGCTTCCTTATAGGTAATTTGATCTCCTCACGATTTTTATTATACGAAAAAGATACATAACGAATTATGATGTCATCTGTTGCGTCTACTTTACTATATACGTTAAGGAATATATTATTTTTACAATAGATGAAATATACAGGGTGTCCTATAAATGTTGGTGTAAGTGAGTAGAAATTGATTTTACATGAAAAACTAATGTTGAAAATGTGTGTGCGTGTAGAATATAATTTATTCATATATTTCGTTTTATTTTCGAGACAAATTTAAAATAATTTGAAAATTTGTCGAATACGCGTGTACTTATGATAATTAAAAAAGAAAGCAAAATATGACGAAAATATTGATTTTGATTTTTTATTTCTAACGTGATGCCAACAAAAATTACTTGACAAATCGAAAATCAATAAGATTCTAAATCACCTTTGAAATTATTTTTTTTATAATGTAAATGATTGTGAAATTTAGAGTAAAGTTAGGTATCAGTAAACGTAAAAAACGAAATTACTTTAGGAAAAATCCAATGTATGTAGTATATTTGTTCATCATAATGGGGGAAGAGTAACATGCCACCTATAAGAAGTTGTAATAATAAAAAATAAAAACTAGTCAAATATTTATTGTTTATGAAAAATAAGTTTTACGGTTTCACTTTTGTGATCTACAAAAAAAAAATTGGTCTACCAAAAATTTTAAACAATTTATATTATGAATCAGATTGTAGTAAAAAATATGTAACTGGTGGGCCAGATTACCACCTCATCGTCTGCACTTCGTGAAAACGAGAAAGACTAGTTTTCACTACCACAATCTTGTAGTTTATCACACATATGCGTGAATAAGGTATCCGTGTGAACGTGTTTCAAAGAATGGAAGATGTTTCTTTCTTGTAATCTTTATTTCTTTCTTTCTTTATTTTTTATCGGTTGGCCACAAACCTCTCTTTAACAATCATAAGTTACTTTCTTACCAAATTTTCTATAAGTTAAATCAGAAAAATATAAAATTCACATAAATATTTCCATTTATTATTCAATATCAACTACTTAAATTTAATTAATTTAATAGGAAGCATATTTGCAATTGAAGTATTTCAAAAGAATAAGTTCGATTAAATTGTCGTATCTGCCATTATTTACTTTACTATTATTTATTTAACTTAATAGGTTTTTTTTTTTCGATTTCACTTCTTTTCGATTGCACTTTTTTCTTATTTCTCATTTACTAATGTATTTTTTTATTTCTCCCTTATTTCTTTCGAATTGGATAAGTCCATCTCAAAAGATATAATATAAATGAGATGTCTGATTTTCTTCGAACGTCCCTGAAAGAATCTCGGAAAGAAATTACTCTTTCAACGCAAATTAAATATTAACGCTACAACTACGCGAAAAACACAAAAATAGCATTTTTAGACACACAACGCTTTTATAATCTTTTATTATAATTAATATATATTATATTTAAAAATATATTAAATTATACATTCTCACATAATCTATTTAACAAAATTATTTTTAGATAATCATTTAATTGTTATGGGCACTTAAATATAAGCGTCCAGCGAAGGTTATCGGTATGGATTATGGACGCATATGTGCGTCCAAAGATTTTTTTTATCTTATAAGCTCGTCAAACGTAAAAACTTTTAATATTTAAGATATAAACGTATCTCGTTATAGCAACGAGAAAAAATAGAATGATTTATATAGCATAATATATATAGTATATAGATAATAGTAAGTAATAGTAATTTGATCGTGCATATCTATCAGTATTCTGACAAATTTCACATTTAACAACAAATTATTCCGCCCTTAGCGATTATAACTGCGAGTAGCGTAACTCTCACGCGAAGTACTTTCATTTTTAAAGCATTCCTCAATCAAAGGGTTAAAATTATTGGTTTATCCACAAAGTTCGTATTGATTTATAAATATATATATATATATATAGAATAGTTTAGTGGCCTAACTACAATTGGAAATAAGAAAAAAAATGTTATTTGAAGTTCAAGTGAAATTGAAGTTAGGTTATAGCAAATTTAACGAAGCAATGAACAGGTCACTGAGCACATACATTCAAACATTACTACGAAATTCGTGTTGAAAGTTTCTTTGCTGGATGATGAAGTTTCTTTGCTGGATGATGAAATATGAATTATTGTATATCCATAAATAATTTTTATGAGAATCGAATATAACCTGTCTTTTTATAATAACAGTTATTTCGTTTGTCTATAATACTTTTGGTGATAAACAAATGGTTCCTTTTTACTACATTCACGTATCAATCACAAAATTCAACTTGTTTTCATTAATTTATTGGAAGTAATTCTCAAACAGCTGAATATTGAAAAGTAAATCTTTCATTGATTGGTAATGTTCTTCAAATCGTGTTTCATGATATCTATAGTTGAGATGAAACACGTCAAATATTTTGTGTAGGAGTATTATTACGGTAAACCATAAGTTCGTGTATTTTTAAATTAATATTTCCAAAGTAAATTTTACAAAAACAATCCATTATGCAGTTTCAAAGTAAAATTTCAATACAATAAAAGCACGAACTTTTGGTTCATCTTAATATCAATAAAGTTTATTGTCCCTTAACCTACGATTTAAATTTCGATGATACGTGCTATAATAAATAGAACAAGTTTACATTGCACGTTGAATCATTTCACGGTTCGGCTAAGTTTTGACAATCGAACACATCTTATGGCATGTTGAACCATAGGAACAAATCGCAAGATTGGAACGTGTTGTTTAGGTTTGATCCGATCGACGTACCTTTCACGTAGCTTTCACTCGTGATACTCATGTTTGGTCCATTTTTCTTACCACGAGTCTCACCCGTGATGTTCATGTTCAACTTATTTTTTTGTTACCACATGTCTCACACGATTTTGTAAGGCAAGGGATTCAGAACGAACATCGTGATACTCACTTGTAGGTCTAAATCAATCCAAATTGCATAATTGGAAATTGGGATTAATAAATGTATATATATAAATAAAATTATGTATAAATACATATATATATTAAAACGCGGTACTGTTCTTCCAGGAAATCTGCTTTTATCTATTTCAATTTCATTTGTTTTCAATTTTATAATAATACGTTTCTAATCGAACATTAATTAATAATACGTTTTATTTATATTTTTAATTTCACCAATACAATATGTTTCCACAATTTAATCGGTAAACCCCAGGAAGGATACTCTCTGTTTATATTTAATTATTATTTTTCTTTATATCTCTATACAAACTTACCGAGTAATCTAATATTATACTTTGTGCATAATAATTTATTAGTTCAATAAAATGTTATTCGTTATCTTTTCAAATTTCTATTAAAATAATTATCAATGCATAAAATAATTAATATTAAAATAATATACAAATGCAAGTATCACCTGAATTCAGATGACGCGATTTTATTCGAAATTTTATATTGTTACTCGAATCTTAGGTGAAGTGACAGTTTAAACAATAACTGTTAAAAAGAACAAATCAAACTATTAAATGATACTTAATTTCAAATATATTTGTTGAATAATTGTCAGCATACTAATAGGTTTTATATTGCAAGATCAACTTGCTATTACTTATTATTATATATACTATATATATATATATATATATAAATTATTCTCTTTTTTCTGGTGTTATAACGAGATACGTGCACATCTCAAATATTAAATATTAAAAGTTTAAAAAGAAGAACTTTTCTTCCATGCCACAATGGTCAAAATATACGACCCATGTAACTTAAACGGAAAATCACCGAAAACCAATTCAACACGGTACGTGTTAACTAAATCAACAGACACAAAAGAATCGGTTGGAAACAGTACGTAACAACTAGTACAGATTTAAAATACAGTGACTTTCCATCGTTGTTGTGTTCGAAGTTTCTTGCAATTTGAAAACGCAAAAAGAGAGAGAGAGAGAGAGAAAGAGAGAAAAAGAAAGAGAAAGAGAAAAAGAGAGAGAGAGTCATCATTAATAGTAGAACGGTGAAGGAACAAAGAGAAGAACCGCTGTGGTTTGGCCTCGTTTGCACAATAATTGCATGCTGGTAAAGTAATATATCGTAAATCGTATGAGTACACATTCTTCCTTCTCTTTCTTTTCTTTTCTTTTCTTTCTTTTTTTTTTTTTTAAGTAAATAAAGTTGCATAACGAAAGAACAATGTAAGCTTTGTGGGTTTTATCGTTCAACAATAGATCCTTTTAATCGTCCAAAAAATTCTTGTCAAAATATAAATAAATTTAAAAAATTTAAATATGTGTGTATGTAAGTATAAAGTTATTTTAGATTTTTTTTTCTATTTTGTTTATGAACTTTCGGAACATCCAAATATCTCTCTCTCTCTCTCTCTCTCTCTCTCTC